GTCCTGATAAAAAGCCATTTTGAACTCATCCGGCCCCGGAGTTTTTGTTTTGTCCATAGAAAACACAATCTCCTTAATCTCTTCCAAGTCAAAGTTCCTTTCCAAACTCCTCCTATTGTCCCCCCTACATCTGGCCAGTCCAAACCTTCTACCCACACCCTTCCATTTACAGGCTTTCTTAGAATGGATTTAAAGTGTTCTACACATGCCCCAACTATCTCCTCTTGTTGAGTTAACTCAATTCCATGCACAACCAATTTGGAGATGAAATTTCTCCTTCTTCCATCTGCCAAAGAATGAAAGTACCTAGTATTCCTGTCTCCCTCTTGCAACCATTTACATCTAGATTTTTGCTTCCAATTTATTTCCTCTTTATCTAGGCAATCCTCTAACTGTCTTCTCAAGCCCTTTCTTAGTTCATTGTCTTCCTCTCCAAATTCTCCCATTTCTTCTTTAGAGTCAAGGCTTTCAAGTTGGTCCACCAAATCTCTCTTTCTTTCTTCTATCCTCCCAAACTCTAAGATATTCTACTCCTTGATCTTTATTTTCAAGAATTGTAGTTTCTTATGAAATCTCATCCCCTCCCATTCCACCAATGGGTTACGCTCATTCCACCACTCCCTTACTCTATCAGTAAACTTGGGATGGAACAACCACATATTTTCAAATATAAATGGGGCAGGTCCTCCACTCCTTCCTTGCATAACACTATGGGCTAATGATCTGAGGTCACCTTAGGTAGAGCTCTAGATGTCAAGTTCCCCTAATGTTCTTCCCATTCCACAGAAAATAGGAACCTATCCAACTTAGAGCATATGGGTCTAGCTTGGAGATTTGACCAAGTAAATGTCTTCTGGGCCAATGGTATCTCCTTAAGCTCAAAGGCATCCACAAACCTGTTAAACTTCCTCATGCTTGTTGTCACCCCTCTGATTGGTCTTGTTAGTTTCATTTGGGTATCTAATCACATTGAAGTCTCCACCCACACACACCAAGGGCCCTCCCACAGTCCTCTTACATCAGCCAATTCCTCCCACAATTCCTTTATCTCTCTGTAGTCATTTGGTCCATAGACATTTGTAAGCACCCACACATATCCATCCTCTTGCTGTTTGAACTTCATGGAAACTGTCTATCTTCCAATCAGTTCCTCCAAGCCTTCAACCACTTCCCTCTTCCACATTGTCACTACCCCCCCCCCCCCCCCCCCCCTGAAGCACCCCAAGAGGGAGCAGCCACCCAACTAATCCCCCTAGCTTTCCATACACTCCTTGCCCACCTGTTATTAAATTCCATTCTCTTGGACTCCTGCAATAGAACAATGTCTGGGTTGAACCTCTTTATTACCTCTTTTATTGTTGCTCTTTTCCTCACACTTCCTTTCCCCCTCACATTCCAACTTAGTATCTTCATTCTCACTTCTTTCTTAATTCCCTTCTACCCTTGACCACTACTTTCCTCCTTTCCTTCTCTCTCCTTTTGCCCCGAACTTCTTGTCACCTTTCACATCTCTTTTCAATCTCTCAACTTCACTCAATTTTCTCTTCTTTGTTTTAACCTCCTTCTTCCTCTTCTGTAGACCATCTTTCAGCACATTCAAGTCTTCTAATTTGCATCCCAACTTCCCCACAAAATCCGTTATCAAATCCTCTTACTTAGATCCCCCCACTACCCTTCCTACACACTCCCCTTCAACCCTATCCTCCTCTCCTTAGGTCCCTCCCCTCTTCTCTCCTCTCCATCCTTCCTCCTTATGATACCCCCACCTCCTTTGTGCACTCCATATTATCTTTTCGACCTCAGCCCTCATTTCCTTCCCTCCCCTCCCCTCTTCTCTCCTTTATATTTCCTTCTACTTCATTAAATATTCTTTCAATAATCTTCCATACTTTCTCATTTCTATACCTCCCTTCTCGCACCTCTCGACTAACATCCAATCCCCTTCCCAAGGCTTTAGAAGTCTCACCACCTTGATTGATTGCACATACACGTGCTGCAAGACATGGATCGGGAACAGAATCTGGAACAAAGGACACAAAAGACTCATTAGTAGCATAAACTAAATTCACAAGGTTACCTGGGTTTGAGAGAGAGGTTGGGATAGGATTGTTCCCGGTCTCCCTTTCTAGTTCCGGAGGTTGGTAAAAATCTGTCTCCCTGAGTTGGTTGGGAAGTCCATATGTCCCTTGGTCAACATGGTGATCGCTCCTCTCTACCCCTAATTCACCCCTGATTGGTATGTTCCTGCTCTGCTTTTGGTTTTCCTGATTTGCCCTTTCTTTTGTTGCTTGCCCAATCTGGAGTCTTAAGAATGGGTTATTCCGTTCACTGTCTTTAGCCTCACCTATTTTATGGAATCCCGAGCTTCTTTCATCCTCTAACTGACCTTCCTGGCCGCCTAATTCAGGCCTCCCTTTCTTTCTCTAAGTCCCCCTGAAACAGCCTTGCAATGTTCCACTCTTCCATGTCACCTGCAACGTAGCCGCTTTCATCATTCACGCTGCCAATACTGGTACCATCATCTGTACCGTCATTTGATTCTTCTTCATCTACACTACACAGTACCCATCCTTTGTCCGCCTCCTTCTCTTCGGCTCTCTCCCTTGCGTACCTTGGGTTTGGCTTCTCTGAGAAGCGCCGCCCTGGGCTCAGCTCCTCACTGTTACGACGCGGGACCCATTGGAGGTTCCCTTGTTTGGTTGCTTGCCGCTGCTGCGAGCCTTTCTCAGTTCCCCTTGCCATTTGGGACGATGATTGACCCAAACTTCTGTCTATCATCCGTCCAAAACTCCTTCCTTTATCTCGACCCACGTGATCACTTAAAAACAGCCCTGGTTTATCTTTCGGTCCGCCCGACCCTCCTATCAACTCGACCGGCTCGGACCGAGCCAAACTGTACCCTGGGCCACTCCACTTCACCACGTCAGCGAAAGATAAAGAGCCCGCCTTAGCTTTAATCCTTTGAAAAAAATTTGAATTATTTCCTTTAATTAGATGACTTGTCGTTTGGGTTACCCCAGCCACCCCATTAAACCTTTCCTTAAATTCCACCTGCACCTCTTTTTGACCGCCCACTCTCTTCCTTCCACGTGTCCACCACCCTTCTAGCTCATCCATCGTCTTCAACCTTGGGCCCTCTTCCCCACCACACCTGTTCAACTTCTGTAGCTACCCACACCTTATACCAGACTTCATTCGAGCATCTCGAATTACCTAGGCATATCTTCGTGTTTAATCCCAGCCACCTTTACCTCGAGGCGACCAAGCTGCATTTATCACCTTCTACCAAGACTCCTCATAAACTCTGTACTATGTGTTCAAGAACAGAGTCACGCCAAAGGTGGAAGGGGAGACCTACAAACTTCAGCCGAACACAACCATCTTGTACTGCAACTTCATTACAGATGGGACTCCGATTCTGGACCTGTATCAGACCTCCGTCCATCTCTACAGCTTTGAAACTTAGTTCCTGGTCGCCAACATCCAGAATGGCTTTCGAGTCTGTAAATGGAACCAACAATGCTTCGTTTCCAATTCCAATTTCTCCGGCTACTGCGTTCAACACTTTCTTCCAGTCTGACACTTCTTTGTCAGCCACCAGAACCATTCTTTTCTTCCAAGCATCTGTCCCTGCTCCCACCAGAATTCTTCGATGCACAGAAGAACAAGCCACCACCACACCAGCGGTTGAGGTATTTTGAGCTTCTGCACTCCCGGTAGTTCCACTCGAAACTGACTCCTCCTGATCCATCCGACCCTGGTCTTTGGAGTTTTGACCAGTTACCTCCACTCCTATCTTCTTTTTTTCCGATGCTACAAGGAAGGACTGCAACACCTTCACAAAAATCCTCCACCCTTTCTGCATTCTTCCTTCCAACACACAGAACAATTGTTTCCCAGCTCTTCCAAAGAACTCCACCATGATGAACCACCCCTTACAATATCTTTTCAGTTCAATTACATATTTCTTGCCTGGAACTGACATTAAGTTCTTCCAGCCATTCACCTTGCCGGAGTTGATAGCCCCGTCTATAAAACCTTTCATCCATACCGTGACCTCCTTTAGTACCAGTATTGTCGCCCTGCTGTTCTCTCTAATCTTCAGTGCTTCCTTACCTTTGATCAGTTCCTCTTCAAACTTGAAGGTCTTAGCTTCGATCACCACCTCGGTCCTCCATCTTCCTACGGTTCTGAATCCCCTCTCCCCCTCCCCCTCCATCTCAATACCCATTTGATCTGCTTCACCACTTCTTCATAAGTCCAGGCTGCCTTGTTTTTTCATTCTTCAACCACAGAAGCTCTTCCAAGGGGCTTATTGCATGATTCCTCATCTCCCATGCCATAAACCATAACAATAGACTGTTAATACCTAATACAAAACTCTCTGATTTTAACGCCTTAAACTTGGACTGCAAGAAAAGTTGGTGATTAAAATTGTATCTTTTCAAAATTCAAAGACCTCTAAATAACCATTTAAACTAGCTCGACTCTTTAACACGACTAAACCTACTCATACAACACCAACAAACTATAAGATTTAAAGCAAATGGACAAAAAGTCAGATCACCCCAAAAATTATGAAATTGCCATTGATGCGAGAATGTGAAGAAATTGATTTCCTATTCCATGGTTTCTTTCTCTTCATCGATGCTTGCATCATACTGTTCCAAGGTAGTGGACGTTTTCTTGTTCATATCTGCCTTTTAGTTGGTTTGTCCTATCTTAAGTCTGGATATGGGTCACATTTTATGGGGGAACTTTGGCATCATATTGCATCTTTCCTTTTAATCAGCTTGTTTAATATATATATTGTTGCTTAAAAAGAAAGAGGAGAATATTGGAAGTCTAGTTTGGTTTTAACATCAATAAGATCCTATTTTGACTTTTGATGTGTAAATATCAGTTTCTTTGTATTTAGATACGTAGTGGAATGCTAACTTTCTAAGTTGCATATTGTATGTCAATCTGCTTAATCATTCTATCCCTTCCATATGATGCAGCTGAAGCCATATGTTTCTCAGTGCCCAAGAGAAGTTAAAACTACTGAGGCCACTGATACAGCTAAATAAGCAAAAAGGAGAACCAATATTGATCCACTCCTTCATTTCATGAACTCTTTTTTTGAGAAATTAAGAAGAGAATATAAATGTAGCTTGGGAAAACGAAACCCAAATAAAATAATTAATCTTGTAGTTTTGCTATTTATATTATTTTCTATTCACATTTTCTGTGATCCATTTCTGAGTCGTATACTTCTACAGACTTGATCCCGTCCCCTGGTTAGTCACTGATCAATTCTTTTGTTTCCTTGGACCGACGCTAAATTTGTCAGAGGGTGGGGAGTGGGGACTTTTACATGCTCAAACATTCATGTGTCTCCCCAGATATGTAGATTTGAAAATGGATTGGATTTCAAATCCAGTTTGTTTATGTTGGATTTGGATATCTGCTTAATCATATAATTTTTTTTTGGTATCTTCTGAAGGGCTACACAACGTGGGGTAGCCCATCCCCCAACTCAGGTGCAGGTGGGAGTGGAGGAGACTTTTACATGCACAAAGATCCATGTGTCTCCCCAGATACGTAAGATTTGAAAATGGATATATATATATCTATATATATATTTCTTCTGAAGGGGGCTAAATAACGGGGGTCTTGAATTTGGATATTGCTTCATCCGAAATGTTAGGATCTAATTTGATTATATATATGCATGTATATTGATTATCACTAGGGGTGCTCATGGTTCTGTTAACTGAACCGTGGGGTGATTTTCTGGATTGAATCGAACTGTTTGGTTTTTCAATTTAACTAAATCGAAACTGAATCGATGCAACTGGTTAATCGTGGTTTGGTTTTTTAGTTTTTTTATGCCTTTAATATTAAAAAAAGGGGGAAAAACCTTTTCTGTCGATGGTTGTGAACTGGGAGCGAGAGAGATGAGAGAGAGAGATTGAGAGAGATGAGAGTGATTGAGACTGAGAGAAGATATTGAGAGAGATCAGTGAGTGAGTGCTGAGTGAGTGTCGAGTGAAAGGGACTGCGAGATGAGAGATTGAGATTTCAGATTTGAGAGATGCTAGATGCCGGTCTGAGAGAGTGAAGGCTGAATCTGAGAGGAGATGCCAGACATCGGTTGGAGGCTCGCCCGTCAGTAGGTCTGGCCCGTTGGGGAAGAAGAAGAGTATGAGAGAGAACACAGAATATAGTGAGGTGAGACAAGCACAGTTGGTCGCATGATCGGAGCATTAGAAGCTGTCGGTCCGTTGGGGAAGAAGAGAACTGAGAGTCTAAGAGAGTGAGACTGTGAGAGTCTGATTCGAAGAAGCCAATGGAAAACCACTGAGACAAAAGAGCAAAAGAGAATAAAGGCTTGAAAATTTTTTAAGTGACAAAAGAGAGAATTTTTTATTTTTGAGACTGAAAGACTGGCAGAGGTAGACTGCCAAACTTTCAATTTTCAAATTGAAACTTTCAAAGAGAGTTTGAAAGTCTCAGATATCCAAAATTGTTTATTTGATTTTCAAAAATAAAAAATATAATATAATATATATATTACTATATATATAGGTCGGTTCGGTTAACCGCTGGTTTTTTTAAATGGTTAATTGAAACTATCGGTTTTTTAAGAATATTGAACCAAAACTGGACCGATTGATTCGGTTAACTGATTTTTCAGTTTGGTTTCGGTCGGTTTTTTGGCCAGTTCAGTTTTTTTTTTGCTCACCCCTAATTGTCAGACCCTTTTTAGAATTTTAAATTAAAATCATTTAGGATTAAGTGGGATTTGGGATGTAGATAAGTTTATTTTTATCCACTTCAAATATATATATATATATATATATATAGTTTCTTGTATCATATTTAATTTTGCAGATTTATGCTAGTTTTGTATAGGTTTACTGAATTTCGAATATAATCAGATACATAAAGGAATCAAATTTGGATTAAACGGAATTCAATAATATATTTTGAAGCCTCTATCTTAGAATTTAGGCTCAATCACATTCACCCGTCTTGGTGCACTTTACCGGTGCATGCATTTTATTTGAAGAGAAAAAGTTTATTCCTGATCATGTCTATCTTGGTCCGAATTTTAGCGATCCATGTTTCTGAAAATCTTCAGGGAAGTTACCATTTACATAGTTCCGTGGTTGTAGTCAAGCTTGTGGTATTTGAAAGTTCAATTGTTCAGATAAGAGTTAAAGTTCTCTCAAAACACGTTGTTAATTGAAAGATACGTTCTGAAGTATTTCTCACAATCGCAAGCATTTGTCTCTTGCCTAGACAAGAATCCATAACCAAAATAACTGGTATCCATGGTAGACTCAATGTAAGTCCCAAATTGAGACTACAGAATGGTCCCTACTTAGACATTAAAATCCCTCTTAAAAGAGATTCTGGTTCCTTTTGCGGGCAAAAGACTCTAATTTACACCGTTGACATCTTCACATCACATATGGTGCAACCTCTTCCAACTCAATTGATAGGTCTGAAAATTCTTTTCGATCCAGATAGCTTTTGGCTAGGCCTCGTGGAAATATGCAAAATCCTTATAACAGGTAGACCAGGGGCTTGGTCAGATTCACGTATTAAAGGAACAAGATCGACCACCCTTTTCTATGCAGGGTTAGTGTACGAGGAATTAAATTAACACTAAAAAATGGGATACTGGTAACAGTAGATGCAGAGCTTATACATTCGGTGGCTATGGCTATGTTGTTTTGTGTATTGGGTGGCAACTGGTTGGGTTGGGTTAGGTGGGATTGAAGATCAAGCCACCCACCTAACTCACCCGAGAGAGAGAGAGAGATTTGGGAGGGCAGTTGATGTGTTCTCATCACCCAATCCACCCATTGGAGGGGGGTTGGGCAGATGCCAAGATGGGAGATACACAAGTAAATGCATCCATTAAGTCTCCTCCGTGTTTAAATTTCTTAAATTATCCTTATGGTTTAGTTAATTGACTAACTCTACTCTTACTGTTTACATATTGTTTTAAAGTATTCCTATTGTTTTTGACAATTGTCTAAAACCTCCCTTGCCATTAGATTTTCGTTCACATGTAACATCATGTAATTAGAATTTTTTTTAAATTCCTAAAATACCCTTTTTGTGAACTGTTCATAATCCTCAACCTTGAGATGAAGAACAAAGTGGTGGTGACAAGAAGTCAAGAACCCCTTCTCCTTTCGATTCCTCTCTGTCCTATCACTATCTCCATCTTTCCTTTGTCCCCTCAAGACCTCAACTGGAGCAACTCAATGGTCAAACTCCATTTTTTCTAAAGCTACTGTGCAGTCATTTGGTATCCATGTAATGAGAAAACTTTTTATGCCATGACTAGAGGTGAAAAGGCTATGCAGATCCAATTTCTAGATTGATGTATTTGCATAAATACATCTAGAAGTACTTTTTACCTTCTCAATAAACTTGATTCCTTCTGAAAACTAATGTGTGGTGAAGAAAATAAAAATGGAATGAATGCAAAGTTCAGGGAGTTGAATGTGTGAATAATGTGTACAGACTTTATGCAATTATGATACAGAGAGCCATCCTAAGATAAGGAAGTGCTGTTATAACGAAGAGTGGTTCCATAATGAGTAGGAGGAAATTCAGGTGGTTATAGATTGAAGATGTTGCTAATACAAAACTGTTGGGATATCCACAAGCCTTGAGGCCCTTGACCAAATTCTGTTATTTCTTGATAGATGCTCTGCTGGAGAAAGGTGCAAAAGTGAAACCTTTGATCTGTTTTTGCTTAACCCAGGAACCCAATAAGGTTTGATTGTTGAGGTATGTGGCAAGCTGCATCTTGGAGCAATTTAGGGGAATGCATTTGAAGTTGCATTCATAGCTGCAACGGAGGAGATTGGAGTAGAGTTCTTCCATGAGTTGTTTGATTCATCATGGATAGTCTTGGAGCTGAGGTGTGTAGGGCTACTAGTCTAGCAACTTTGCCATAACTTGCATTACACCAATAACGAGAAACTGAATTCCCACTTCAAATTTAAACTAAGAGCAATCCACGAACTAGATCAATGTATTATGGTCAATTATATACTTATTGCATAAGAAGAAGAACAAAAATCACTTCCATCAAAGCTTCTTAGTTATTCTAATCATAAAAGATTTAACAGCTTTTGTCCCGCGGGAGCTTTTGTTCCACCTCCCGCTGACTTGTGCTTCTTCTCCGCTCCCAAAAGCTTCAACTTTGTCGGCAACAATGCCGTACAGATTGACACCTCCTCTGTCATCGTCAATAGCGTTAGATCTTCTTCCATCACGGCTCTTTGTGACCTCTAGACCATCAAATCATGGCACAAGTTCATCGATGAACATGACCTTACAATGGGAGAGGAAGATGGAAGGGAAGAGGAGAGGGCAAATTTTTTATTATTTAAGTTTTATTTTAAAAATTTGAAGAATAGTGGAAGACAAATTTAATATTTCATTTCTTTTTATTAACAGCTAACACGTTATCAATTTTCAGAAATAGTAGGAATACTTTAAGATAATATATAAACAGTAATGATAAAATTATTTAATTAACTAAACCWTAAGAATAATTTAAAAAATTACCGTTTTTTAATATCTAGTCTATTCCTTTTCTGTTAGGCATTTTAAGATTGAGGATGCCGTATATCATAGGCAAGGCTGTCGGCAGGTAGGATTCGAATTGGACCTGGCTGATCTAAATGGTTTGAGCATCTACTCCGCTAATTCCAGGAAGGATACTACGTATGCTGTTCTCACGTCAGCATGAGAAAGAAATATAAATTCCAACTTCAGATCAAAACAAAAACTTTCAACTTGAATATAATTCTGGTTACGTATCCATTAGGGTGAAAGACCAAAAATTTTCTCCTAGACCGGACAGTGGACCTGAACAAATACAATCTTGTTAGACCAGGTTATGGGAATAGGGATGCAAATGGATTGGGTCAGATTCGACTCAGGATATATCCAAATCTGATCATACACTATTTATGGCGGATTCGATTTGATCGGATCTGATAGGCAAGGATCCGAATTTGAAATCGATCGGGAAGTCAGATCTTTAGATTTGATCCGATCTGATTTATTTTCTTTAAAAATTAATAAATTATTAAAAAAGTAAAATATATCAATTTAAATAAAAAATAAAAATAAAAATATTTTTTAGTTATTTTCATCATATATATATGCTTTTATAAAAAATTTACAAAAATAAAATATAAATAATATATTTTTAAATAAATAAATAATATATATATATATATATTCTATATATTTATATAATT